TTTTGTTTCACACTGTGACTGAAGCCCAGGAAAGAAAATAATATAATCATAGTTGCACGCAATCAGGAAAATAAGTCAAAATAAACAAGAAATAGCGCAAACAAACCATTATGTGGATTGAAACTCTTTTGCGCTTACAGCAGTTGATAAACAGTGTTTTGCTGTAACATTTCAATTTTGACTGTACAGCCCGGAAAAAGTGACGGTTTGCTACAGCGAGCCACTTTCCTATTAAAAATACATCCACTGTACGTGCCACACATGCTAGAGGTTTGTAAAGCCTGAAATGTTAATGTGTAATTTCAAGCACGATAAATCATCGGAAATTGCAAATTTCTCATGGAAAAATCTGCTCAGGAATGCAAAATGATTTATTTAAGGTGTCGCAGCCAGTTTTCCTGCAACACGCTCGAATGACGATTTATGGGTTTTGTTCCTGTACATGAAATCTCGTTTAGATTGTTTCAAGTGGCTGAAATAATTAGTAGCCAAAATAATCCAATTCAATCGTGCAAGAGGCTGAACGAATTTCACTTTGAACACACTTTGAAGGCATTTTGCAAAGGAAAATGTTCCTCTGGCACGTCCAGTTCGTTTCTTATCGGTTTTATTGTACATGACCAGTCAATAACATCAGCGTTAAAGCGAAAAGCACTTTCCCAGGATCTTCTGTAATTCTGCGCCAGAGAGCATTTCGGTTATTGAAAAATGTAAAAGCTATCCCATCGATAAAGCCATGTTATGTGTATTTTGAAATTTCATTTCCCAGTGAGCGGAGTGAGCGATTTTGCTATTTCCTTTTCCCTTTAGTTCGGCAAATAGAATTAAAAACCACCAAACATATTCCTTTCCATTAATTGCAGCCGGCCACACTTTTCCTTCCATATGCATGAGCGTATGACAAACAAAGCACACCCGCGAGGATAACGGGAAATTACACACAAAGAGCCAAGAACTTTATAATGAACGAATTTGTGCTATTATAAGTTTAATTTTATTTCCATCCAGCAAATCGTATTATTTTCCTTCGTTAGATGCGCAACTCAAAAGCGGTCTAGACTGCGGTTCAGCAAACGAACGGAGCGGTTCAAGCCTGTCCACTTTAATCAAAAATTAATGCGTCTTGAAAACAAAAAAAAACATATTCAGCCTGGATCATCCACTTTGGACGTTGATAAATCGCTACACAAAAAACTGACGTTTTTTAGCCCACAAATTGCCGAAACTCCAGTAAGTTTATTTCGGGTTTTCATTCAATCAGTTTGTCTGGAAAAACTCTAATAGTTTTGAAAACTTGGTGGAGAAACATTGAAATTGGCCTCCCCGGTACACGCGGTTCATTTTTAATTAAATAAAAAAAACACATTAAAGACCTGAAGCTCACTAAGTAAATTCGCACTGTTTTCCGTTAAATTTGGGACTTTTGAACGGAAAATGTTATGAAAATCTGCAGGTTTAGGAATATTGTATGAACGAACAATCGATTCAAATGCACAAACTCTTATTCGAATGAACCAACTTTTTTCATTCACAAACGTAGCATTCCTCGGTTGTCCCACTCGCACCCATAAAAGTCTAAGAGAGATGCAAGATGGACTGCTCGCTGCTACGTTCCAACTTGCCACCTTCACCGCTCGGAATAACGGAGTTTTGAGTAAAGTCAGTGAGGTAAAATATTTTTACGACAGCTTAGGATTTCAGTGTATCGTCAGAATAATGATTGGGTAACGAAAATCTGGTTGAAATTATGGAATAACTGATAACTTTCGGGTTATTAAGCCGCATGAAACTAATTTTCTCGCACAATCCAACGGGTTTCAATCCAAAACTGTGCATTATAGCAAAAAACCCAAAAGAGCTTCTTCATTTCCAACTAAATGTAGAATGGGAAAATATTCTTTGTTTGCCAAAAATGATAAATATGGCGATAATAAACGAAAAAATCCTATTAAAAATAGTGAAACTAGTCGCTGCGAGCCACCGTGAGGATTTCTTTCATATTTGTTGTTTCTGAATAATATTTAATGGCGCTCTGTAACATGTAAACATTTAAGGATTGTTGTTGAACTTTACAGGCCTATTTTCGCTAGTAGATGCCGAAAAGTTAATTTACTTTATTCGATAGTTTATGTTCAGCCTGTGAGTGTTTACGTATGGTTTATATAAAATTAAACGAAACTGTTTATAGGACTGGTTCAATGAAACCGTCCATTGATACTGCCATAGTCCTCCGGTTTATTTGGGATTATTATTCTCCTGATCATCCTGCTAGATAACTATTTACTGAGATTGTAATTGAGTTTTCTTTGTGTTTTTCTATTTACGAATCCCGGACTAAAATCAACAAGTCCCATTCCGACATTAATCGATGGTAAATGTATACAAACCATAAACTGTTTGTACACTTGTGGTGGGATTTAAATTTGACGTGTTCCAGTTTACACTGCCACTCTGGACAAATACCAAGGAACTGTTTGCATTGAGAGTAATATAAAGATAATACAAATATTTACGTTTTTTCTTGGCTTTAAAGGCGGAAGATGGTGATGACTCTATTGGAAATGGAAGCACATTTGCACATTTTTTGCATGGAAGTCCAAACTTTAAAAAAACCACATTTGCCAAACTAAAGCAAGTAGGTGTAAGTATGCACTTGGCTCTAAAGTCCCCAACATTTTCGGAAAAATTGCCGAAAATTCTGAATTTTCCCAGCTTACTTAATATTAGTCTCCTGGTCACCTGGCTGATAATTCATTCAAATGCGCCCTTTCTTTAAAAAATGAAAATCGTGCAAACTAAAAGAAGCAGCAAATTGAAATTTCGCCGAGCTTTAGAAAGTAGTCCAACATTTTGAAAGTTTCATACAAATCTCCCAAAGTCTGGAGTTTTCTCAGCTTAGAAAGATTGGTCACCAAATATCCAGTTTTTCCTAGCGCGCCTACTTAAAAAAATACACATCTTCAAAACTGAAGCAGGTAGAAACTTGAGTTTTTCACCATCTTTAGAAAACTCTTGGCTCTAAAGATCTGGAAAGTTCCATATAAATCTCCCGAAAGTCGAGTTTTTGCCAGTTTTCTAAATATCGGTGCCCAAATGGCTGATTTCACCCACATGCGCCCTTTCTTTAAAAAAATTAACATCTTCCAAACTAAACCAAAACAAAACATGAAATTATTGCAATTGTTAGAACAACTTTATTCATTCTAAAGATCTTAAAATGTTTGTAAAAATCGCTCAAAATTCATAGTGTTTCCAGTTAAATAAGCATCGGTATCCAAATGCCTGATTTAACCCAACTACACCCTCTCGTTAAAAAATTAACGACTTCCACTCAAAATCAAGCAGCAAGTTGAAATTTTCACAATTGTTAGAAAACACCCGGCTCTGAAGAACCTGAAATTTTCATAGAAATTGCGCAAAGATCAGAGTTTACCCAGCTGAACAAGCATCGGTCTCTAAATGCCTGTTTTTAGGCCTGTTGTTACCCAACTGCTCCCTCACTCTAAAAAATTCAGATCTTCCAAACTAAAGCACACAGAAGCTTGGAATTTTCACCATCTTTAGAAGACAGTAAATCATCCAGTTTTGCAAAATAACTTATCATATTTTTCCTCACTGATAATTGTTGACTTGAGAAAATCCATCTTTGGGGCATGAAAAAGCCTCTTTTTAAAATCAAGCTCTAAAACACATCCCTAATTGGCTAAAGGACTTTCTCAAATTCAATTTTTTTGTCCCTTGGGACTCTTTTTCTACCGGAAGAATTCCCCGATTTTACGGCAATTGTGAAATGGCCCTAAACTGATTTCAACTTGAAACCCACAAATCTACCGGAAATATTCAATCAACGATAGATTTCGCTCTTGAGCTGGCCACAGTTGAAAGTTAAACACTTAAACTTTTCCACAATATCCACAACTTTTTATTGATTGATAGTTGACTGCCTCAAATTGAAATATTGATGGGTTAAAATGCAGAAAACCCAGATAAATGAGCCAAAGTGAAAGACGCCCAATTCCGTTCCTTTGCCCGAAGAAGTGTCCCTGATAGGGAATTCCTGTGTTCGACTGGCATTAAGCTCGATCGACAGATTAAAGTGAATAATGTGAAAAGTGTTTAATCGGAAAAGGCTTTAGAAATTGAAAATTCGCAATCTCGCAAGCGCACGGAAATCTAGCGCTCATCTCGACCAACATTTCCATCAGTTAGCGTTTCTGTTCGGGCGATAGAACAGTTCTGTCGGCCGGCATCAAGTAAATCACGTGAAAATTCGGGAAAATGATTGATTTGGAAGGAACGGGCCTGATTTGGAAAACGCATTTTCGTCGGCACAACGGTTGCTGAATGGTGTTGGACTCCTGATTGAGTTTTATTTTTGCGGCAACTCCACAGGTAAAGTTTTGGCATTAAAAAAAATTAATTCTATAAGTCAGTTTTACTGCATGATTAGGATTAATCAAGTGGAAGAAAAGTGGCACTTGCAAAGGGAAAAACGCGGTAAAACTAGCAGGAAACTCTTCAAATTTTAGTTAATAAAATATTGATTTTGCGCTCAAAAATAGTCAAAAACTCAAAGAGCTCTTTCTTCACACTTTCCTAAATATACGATATGAAATAAAACATCGAAACAGCGAAGCTCGATCTCAGGAGGAGCGCATCTAATATTTTAAAAACAAGACTACGCTTTGAAGCTGAAAACCTTTGAATTTCCCACAGATAAACCGAAATTGTTCCCGAAATCCAAAAAGTCGGTTAAACTTTGACAATTATTAAAACCAAAGCGTCCACTTTTCCCAATGGGTCGCTCTCGTCTGCAGTTTTTCTCTATTTACACAACATGGAGTGGACAAACAGTTGCAGCACGCTTTTTGCCTGCATTTGCTGCAAGCGGGGAAATAAACATGTTTTGTGCTCATTTCCAAGCTCAACTATGTCGCTTAAAGCAGCTGGAAAACTCCATTTGTATACAAATGATCTCATAAGTTCTTTGTATTTAAGGGGCTCTGATTGATGAATGATTATTGCGTCGATTTCCTCGCATTTTCTCGATGATTTGTGATTGATTGAGCAACACCAGGATTTACCTCAATAAGCAAAAAACTCTCTTATTAATTTGTGCCTATAAAACCATCTGCACTGTGTAGGATCGAAATACTCTTGTCCATCAAGCGGTTTACTTTGGCCGACCGCAATGAGATAAACCAAATGGTGGAAATTCGTGCTTCAATTTCCTTTGCCATTTCTCACATTGGTGTGCATATTTTCCATTGGCCTGGCTCGAATGGAAGACAAACAGGGCCACCTTATTCGGGTTCTGATAAATAATGCAGATTTTTATCGATTCGATAAGAATGTGTGTGATCTTGTCGGCCCACATTTGTCCATGTTGTCGTCCAAATAATGATAACATTATGAGTTTAGCATGTAAATTAACGGCAATTATTGGCGGCACACCAAAGCATCCTCAGTTGCATCCAAATGTAAATATTTGACTAATTATCTGGCACCTTGCAACTGTATAATTGAAAACGTGCTCAGGCACCAGCACACGTCTGAAATGAGTTTGCAAACTTTTCCCAGCAAAAAACGCAAAAACACGAGTTTTCTATTGAAGCAGAAGAACGTTCCGGATAACACATAATTTTCTAAGTAGATCATGTATTTTTTTACAAACTTCTTTTTGGGTATTTCGCCTCAAAAATTTTTGGCTTTAAAAAAGACAGAATTTCCTCACGTCTTTTATTACAGATTGATAAATAGTGCTCCTATTTCGCAATAAGAACGAATTATTTATCAAAAAGTAATCAAGAACTATCATATATAATGGTTAAAAAAGGTATCGTAAAAAGTCTATATGACAGAGCAAAAATAATTTGTAGTCAATCTAATTTTTCCAAAGAAAAACCATTTATAAAAGAAATTCTAAATTTCAATAATTATCCAAATTCTTTTACTGAAAAATGTTTTAACCAAATTGAATTCCCACGAACAAAACAAAATCAAAATAAACCTATTACGAACCTTTTCATTCCATTTATTCCAGGACTTTCAGATCAAATTAAACGA